GAGTAATGTCGCGACGCCGCCATAGGTGGCGAAGGTTAGCAAAAGCACTTCGAGCTTTTGCTATACGGTTCGTGATCTCGTCTTCGATCCCAAGGGCGCGGATACAACTTCCCAGGTAATTGAATTTCTGAACGACTTCTAGCTGATTCCCACCAAGGGTCAGCACAGGAGGCGATCCATGCCAATCTTGGAGGAACGCTTTACACTTCGATGGTGCAAAGCAGAGCCCGGAGCGGCTGACTGCCAGTGCTAATCTGTCCAGTGCATTTGACACGTCTGGGAGCAGTCACAGATGAGGGTAATGTCGTCTGCATACTCTACGTTATGAAGTCGTTCTCTTGCGAGCAGGTCCACACCTTCCAAGTCATGTCCCGTAAATGCAATCTCCATGACTTCGTCAATATCGAAGTTGAAGAGGAAAGGTGACAACGGGCATCCTTGTCCCACGCCGCTGGAGATATTAACGGGCGACGACAGCTTGCGGTAAGCCCTTACTCTACCCATGCTACGCGCGTAGAATGTTGGGATAATATTTACATATTTCTCGGGCAAACCTTTCCTGAATAGACAATTCCAAAGGGCACATCGATCAACCGAATCGAAGTCACATTTCATATCGAGGAACATGACTACCGTGGGTCGCCAATATGTGTGACCGTGCTCCAACAACTGACGCAAGGTGAAGATGTGGTCGATGCAGCCACGACACCGATGAACCCCGGCTTGCCCCACACGAATCTGGCTTTCACGAGCGCCAATCAATCTGTGATGGTATATGGAGGCGAGTAATTTGGAGGCGATGGAGATCAGACTGATTCCTCTATGGCTGCCGCATTCCGAATGCCAGCCTCCTTTGAAGATGGGAGCAATAACAGAGCGGCTCCAGTTGGTTGGGACAGTCTCCTGCTCCCACAGTTTCACTAGTAATTCATGTAAAGCATCAACAAGAGCAGAGCCCCCCAAATTTAAAATGGGCTGGAGGAAGATCATCTGGTCCCGCGGCTTTGTTCAACTTCAACAGTCCGATCTCACGCTTGATTTCTGAGCGAGAAGGTGGATCCATAGGGACAGCCCACGGAGCAGGGCAATCACTCGCCGGCGAAGAATCGAACAATTCCGGCCGATTAAATTGTTTTTCAAAATACTCAGTCCAACGCTCCAAACGTTTTGACAAATTGTGGATAGGCTGTCCACTCTCGTCACATATAGTTTCACTAACACCAGGTCTCCTGCTGCCCGTTTCCCGTATAAGACGGAATAACTTACGACGGTTGCCAAGGGCAGCGGCCACTTCCATCTCTGATGCACGATGAGACCACCAAGATTCGCGGTCTCTCTTCAGGCCAGCACGAAGTTTTGCCTGGAGCTCTTTGCGAGTTTCATTGTGTTAGCTTCCGGCCGGGATTTGCGGGCGAGCGTCGATAAGTTCCAGAGACTACGAAGAGACCGAAAATCAATGTTGGCTATTAGACTTACCACATGAAGGTTTGTCTGCTACTGTCTGGCGAACATGTGACCAGTGACCATCAACTGTCTCCAGTGGGCGCTTACTCAACTCGCATGACAGCGTACTTTGATAGGCACTCAGAACAGCTGGCTTTGTCAGTTGGCTGATGTCAATGCGCTCATAACGTCGTTGTGGGCGTCCGCCAAAATGCATCCACAGGTCAGCACATACAAGGGCATGATCAGCGTCCACACATGTCCTCCAAATCGAGCGACAGTTATGGATGCAGCCTCTTCAGCGGTAATTGACTACAATGTGATCGATTTGCGTCCAAGGCTGCTTCGAAGCTGGTGGGCGCCAAGTCACGCTCCGGCGAGTGCTGTTACAGAAGCTAGTGCTCTCAAGAAATAAGCGGGCATTTTCACACAAATGAAGTAACCTCTCGCCGTTATCATTACGGGAGCCTACCCCGTGCTGACCGCCCAGATGCATTCATCAGTGGACAACTTTTCAACTTGTGCGTTCAGATCCCCGCCAGCACAACAGTGTCCGTGCTTCCTCTGCGGAGAAGGAGTTGGGTCAGTTGGTGGTAGAAGTCGTTCTCTACCGAATCATCGCTAAAGTTTGTGGGTGCGTAGGCAGCGATGATGAATAAACACCTCTTAGTCCCGCGCGACTTCGAAGCTTTGAAGGAGCCAGCCAATCGGACCGCACACTACTGGCTACTGATTGGAATCCAATCAACCAGAGTAGCTTCAGCCCTGGGACTCAGGGAATGCCAACCCCAGCTTGGCCGGTGCTCGAAACTGCGTCGTCAACGGATAGGCGCAATGAGAAAATACTGCTTGCGTCACCTGAAGGGGATCACAGAGTGAGCACAGAGCCCTTGTCTTGCAGGCGGGTCTCCGACAAACAGCAGATATGGATCGAGAGGGTCTCCAATGTTCGGGCAAGCGCTGCCTGTTGACCGATCTGTAGCAATGTGCGTACATTGAGGCATGCCAATCTGAAGTAGGACCGAGGGCTCCAAATGGAAACCGATGAACTGGAATGGGCCGCTTGCTTGGACATGGGCTTGTCGACAGTCGAGAAGTGACGCTCCGCGTTAGCATGCGAGTTGAAATTAGAAGCTAAATGCCTAGCAAAGCATGTTGAGGGAGGGCCAAGAATCGGGGGTTGAAAACAAGTAGGATAAAAATGAAGTTGGAACGGGACGGTAAGAGTGAAAAAGAGTAAGAGGGGGAATATGAAGACGGGAAGGATTGATTAGCAACATCCAAACCCCTATCCACCCTGCTCGATGCAGCAGATAGGGCAACGTTGATTATCCTCTGCGGTGGCCAGAGCATCAGAAATTTGTTTGAAGAGAAATTCATTGTATTGCGTGAACAGGATACTGTCAGGTTGCCCAGGCCTAGACAGGAGAACGATTACGGTTCTCAACCAAAACCTTTGGTTCAAAAACCTGACTGCATGGCAGCGGGTTTGGCGTTGGGCTACAAGGAGTTCGTTTTAAGGAGTAAGGTGTCACCGTCATTCCAACCCCCAACATGGAGGACCAGGAGGCTGAGTTTGTCTTGCCTCTAACCATTGACCAATCTGGTATGAGTGACTCTGAAGGTGCAAAAGCACCACCAAGCAAAGCTCAATGGATCACTGAGGCACACAAACCATCGCACCACGGTTAGGTCTAGCCTCATTAGCATGGTATATATATATATATATATATATATATATATATATATATATATATATATATATATATATATATATATATATATATATATATATATATATAAAACATGCAGGTATTACGCAAAGCAACTGTACAGTTTTTGCTCAATGACGAGCGGCGTAAGAAGCAAGGAGGTACAAACTAACGGCTGATGTAACCGAATTCTTTGACCAACAAATCTTTCACTATGCTGTTTTGTCTTATAAAGTGGCGTCCATGCAACCGACCATTCATGACCTGAGGGATGTTACACAACCGGTGGAAGCGGCACTGTTGACCTCCTTCAATTGAATTACATTTCCGCGATGCGAGACAGCGAAAACGGAGGCGCAGCTGCTCCGTTCATGTTGTTGTTTTCCAAAAACCAGCTGCATAGGATTACCATGCGGTGCCGGCAAGGTGAGGCACTAACGCAGAATCTTGGTATAGATGGTTTTAATGGTATGTTAAGGTCTATTGTCTTCAAATACATCTTCATCTGGCGGCCTGTCTTAATTTACCGTTGGTTGCAACCAACGGTGTAGTTGAAGATAGCAAAACTTAATATAGGACCTGGTCTGTTGAACTGTTTCCTCTTGATACCAGCTGGGTGGTTCGGGTTTACCCCGTTCCAGCAAATGGTTCGGTGGTAGTGTTTCATGAAGTGGTGGGTTTGCTTTTGGCAAAGCTTATTCCAATAAAAGCCAGAAATGTCCGTTTAACAATTCTACGACGTGGCTGATGGGACTCGCTACTAAGTAGTCACAGCCTTTTACACCACGCTGGTAAAGCATTGCACAAAAGTAGCCTGCTGCTGAAATGGTGAGCGGAATTGGACCCCCGTTTGACAGCCGAAAAGAAGAAGTCATAACTGACGTAAGGGCTTGACTACAACCCTAGCCGTAGACTGTTAAAAACGGTTTTTGGTGGGGAGACACCATTACAACTTAGTAACGTAGAAAAGCTGTTAGTAATAACGATGAATAATAACGATTGCGATAACGCCGTGCAGCGACGTACGTCTGGAAACTTTCAGTACGCCGTTGTAAAGGTAAGATAGTTTTATATGGTCATAACTTTCGTATTAAAGCAATTTCTGTAGTCACATTTAAGGGATCGTCATCCATTTTGGTGGGCGCTGGTTTTGTGCAGGAGGACGTTCTAGTGGAGAGAGCCTAAATCAAATGAAGTAATTCCGCTAAACGGTGCTCATTGGCCTGTCGGAAATGAGCATTCCTAGGCCGCGGTCTCAGGTTGGTTGACTTGAATAAAACGTATGTTTATAGGGACACAATAAAATGAAAGACGATAAACATTGATTGACATCTGTAATCTGGGTACATGGTAGAAAGAATGCCTGACAGAATCGCCAAGAGTACGCACATCAGTCAAAACAGCTTGAAACCCATTGCCTTGGTCTAACCTTAGTGCCTGACTTAAACAGAGTACGCTAGGGCAAGTCAAATTAGCCGCGTCAATGACGAAACACTTCTCGCCAGTACTCATTAGTCGCTTGCGCCGATTAGTAAATGAGCAAGAGACGTTTCCTCTAACACAAATTCCATTGCTAACCAAGTGCATAAAAAAGGAATTTAAGGTTGTTTCACGCAGCTATCCTTTCAGTGTGGCTTAGAGGTGAACACGCGAACCAATGGAACAGAGTGAAAACAACGTGCGCTTGCGTCATTCTCAATCACGTCGCACGTAGTCCGTCATCACACACGGGGCGCGTCGTGCGTGAAGGCCGCGCCCACACGAGACGGATAACGTGCCAACTGGCCAATTAATCTGATTGGTCTAAGTGAAGGACACCGGGCGATCAAAATACGATGACAGCAAGTCTATTCTTTGGTTGCCTAAATTAGCATGCGTTGGTGGAACAAACCGGATAGGCGGAGAGATGTTTTTATATCGCAGCAGATGCGTGATCGTTCCCGTCTGCATGACTTTATTCGAAGATGGCGATTCGCAGCTCACTTACTCTGACCAGATATAATCCTGAAATAGCCCTGAACTTTGCAACCGATTTGAAAACAGCGTTTAACGATATACCGACCGGATTTACACCAACAAATCCTCAAGATGGATCTATGAAAGATTTTTCAAAGCTGGAGAACATAGATACACCCACACCATTGGAAAACCCGGAGAATGACGCGGTTTTCGTTTACCCCCCAAAACCCGAGCCAGGTAAGTCAAGGTCTTTGAATAAATTAAGGCCTAATCGTTACGGTAGCTATTCCCATTTCAATTTCGTCATTTTTGATCGTCCGTTAGAGCTGCTCAAAGCTAATTGCTTTTCAAGTCTTCTCAGTTTCCGGGTGATAATGAAATAAGCCTTTCTGGGGTCTTCCAAAGATGAAACAACCACAACTACTCAGGGCGACAAACATTTGGAGTCTGCATCTCAGACTTGGAGTGGGTTATGTCCACCGGTGTTCCAATGTCGGTATTTTCACTGAGTGGAACCTGCGTCTTCTGGTATACATAGAATTAACAATAAGATTTCTACCCGGACACCAGCTCCAGCTCCCAGTACATCGATGTGGAGTTCCGTGTACGGTACGGTAAACGTTCGGGCTCAGGGATTGTGGATTCTTGTAACCACTTGATTTCAGGTCATCTTAAGATAGATTTAACTACCCAGACTGGATGAGAGTTCAGCATAGACACGAGTGCTGCGGGTTTAAAAAACAACTATCAACAATAAAAAAATAATTATTACGGGAAAGTAGATCATTTTGCCCTAAAGGTCGCCCATGTGTCATCCCTTTGCGTTAACAGTAATCCGTCACAGATAAGTTGGTACAGTCAGACTTGTCTAAGGCGACCGTTCAATGGACTAACAAATACTGGTCGCTTTGGACATTTGGTCGCCATAAATACGTTCATGCATAGGGACCTTACGCATAGGAGAAAACGTTGGGGATGTTTTTGGCTGGTCGCCATAGCAGATTGGACGGTATGAGGATAAGATAGCAAGCAAATGCAAAACTTTACACGCATAAAGGAGATAGACTCTTGGTGATCTGAGTGTTCACTGAGATCGGCAGTTTGGCTGCAAACGTTTCGTCACTATCCGAGGTGATATCGTCAGTGCGCGTTTGTGTATCAGAGCGGCGCTGTACGAAGCTACCAAGACAGACTGTGTTTTTATTACATGTCGCCAACCATGTGGTGAGTAAAGATGATGTTCGAACCAAGGAAAAGGAACAGATACATGCACGGAGATTGTCACTAACCATGAAATAAATGAGGGAAATTCCAGATAAGCCGTTGATGCAGGAAACACTCTTTATCGGCCGCACGGTCAAGGTGTAACTCCTTCATAGGAGACAGAGGAAGTGAAAGAAGATCAGTATGTCCTGTTCAGAAAGAGAGACAAAACACGAACCGTTAAGCGAACAGTTGTTTTCAATTGCTTCTTCTTCAGGCTCATACAGTAATATACATTAGGATAAGGTCTGTTGCAATCATCAGTATAACAAAGAAACAACTAATCAGAAAATTTAACTTGTGATCATGATGGCAGTCATCTGATCACATGATTGAAGTTAGGTGGAGTTGCGGAGTACCATCACTTCCTTCCCGTCTTGTGTTCGGCCACGGTTCACTTGTCTGTGCGAGGCCAGGTACATTGGACGGACGATCAGGCATTTAGGTAAGAGAGTTAAGGAACACCTCCCAGGTTAGCTCTACAATCGCGAAAATATGACAAACTACAGCGCGATTACGAACCATAAACACAGGCCACCAGATAAACAAACAAGCATCCTTTCAGATTTTTTACGGAATACCACCAAGATATAACCGTCGTGTAAGAGCAAGCCTACTTGCCACAGCTGAATCAGTATGCATACGCCTGACAAACCCGGACTTGTGTGTCCAGAAGAAGATGATACAAACACTACAACTTCCGTGGCCGACCACCAGATGGGAAGAAAGTGATGGTACTCCGCAACTCCACCTGACTTCAGTCATGTGAACAGATGACTGCCATCACGATCACAAGTTAAATTTTCCGATCAATTGTTTCTTTGTTATGCTGACGATTGCAACAGACCTTACCCTAATATATATTATTGTATGAGTCTGACGAAGAATTAATCAAAAACACTTGTTCGCTTAACGCTTCGTGTTTTGTCTCTCTTTCTGAACTTGACTGAACTAATGGGCATTCTGCTTGAGTATGTGCTGTCCACGAGAATATATGCGGCCAAGAACCTAAGAGTTAAGTTAAGGGATAAAGGAGGGATTTTAAGCCCGAGAGATGACCCATAATCAGCGCATTCTAAATGCATAGTTCGGACAGAGGGGAGGCCTGCAGTAAGTCGTTGCCACCTTCAAGTTTTCCAGCGGTGTGAGTAACAGATGCCTCCTGTCACCTTTCCTTTTTAACCTCGCCATTGACGAAGTCTTAGAAACTGCGTCCGCCGGACACGAATTAGGAAATGTGGAGCTAATCCCAGGCGATCAACTTATTGATTTGAACTATACCGACGATATTGACCTTATCTATGGTAGCTCAAGAAGGTGCCAACCAGCACTGGACAAATATGCTCGAGTTGCTTTTGCCAATTTCTTCCACCTATGACGCGGGTGCAAAGTCAATCCAGCAGCCATCCGTTCAACAGACGTACAGGGGCTAGTTACGTTTAATTATCGCTGCCTTCGCAGCTGAACTCATGTCTGGTGGGTACACCGCGTGAACAATGAGCGTGTTCGGCGTCGTGTATTTGGTGCAGAAAGAGTGAATGAGCTGCTTAGCACCAGGCTGGCTCATGTGTTATGCATGCCAACACACCGACTCCTGCGTCGTAAGTTGTTTGCTCGCTGGGGGTGCGACTTGAAAAGGAGAGGCTAAGCGATGACTTGGTGGAGAAAAATGAAAATTCCCACTTCGAAGTGGTTGGTTGGTGCCTGTTCACTGCCGGTCTGGGGTCCGCAGGAGGATGAACATGTTTGATTGGATACACTTGTTAATATAGGGAAGGACAGACTCAGTGGCGTTTGTGTAGTTAGTTTGTTCATCGTGCTCCATCCCGCTTAGACTCCTCCAGTTGCGATCTCGTCGTCACTACATAGAATTTAACAAAGCATAATAATTTTTCTTGTGTTCGCTGTCTTTGCTCTTTTATTTCACTCTTGCCTACATGAACTGTTCTGAGGCACAATATCGAGTATTTTTTTACTCGTAATTAAAGTTTAGAACAACGAATAGTGCACAAGTATTTGCGGATCAGGATGGGGTTCTGGACACCGAGATAGTTGAGGTAGTGGTTGTAGCCGGTGTGCTTCGCCGTGAACAGTCGTACAAGGGAGGCACATCCAATAATTCGCAATCTATCATCGCGAAAAGAAGAAAATGCTGACTTACATTATTTAGATGCGTTAAGGAGGTGGGACCCGGAAAATGACCACTTCGCTTGCTCGTTTAATCATCGCTGAGGCACTGAAGACATCTCGACGGTGCGAGCAGCTGTGACACGCTGCTTTGAGTGTCCTCAAATGTGCTTCACCAGATGTACTTCCCATAACATATGTTCGTGTCGCGAAAGGTCGGTAAGTGGTGAACACGTTTTCACTAAATGAAAGGTTTGGGGACATGCTGATAGAATGACTACATAATATTCACTATTTCCGTGTACCAATTTGCTTAAATAATGCCAGTCGATGACACTTAAGGAAAACTGTGTTTATTTACGACCGATTTTTTTCTATTCACACAGAATCGCAATCCTTTCTGGACCTCAAAGATCATCAGCCGCTACAGCACCTAAGACCGAATTTTCATACGACCAATTTGGTCACTGAAATGACTAACTCGTTAAAGATTGAGGCACCTCATTCGGAGTACGCAGTGTCCAGCGGCCCAACAACGACTCATTCGGATAATCTAGACCCAAATGGCAGTGTAAGCCGGTGTTCTCATCATTCGATGGAGTCACGGCCAGGGATCGTGAGGCCTAACAGTCTACATTTGAGTCCCCCAGCGGAAATGCACATTGAGTCAGTCAGATACGTGCCACTATCACATATCCGCACAGGATCCTTCTCAGTCGCATTTTTGAACTGTTTTTCACGGGTCCAAACCACCGGGTACATGAAAGAATCATTTGACCAGCCACAAAACGAGATCGACTGCTCAACGCTTGACCAGACCTGTCAGCCACCTTTGCCAACTCAAGAAGTGGCACCCCTACACACAGGCGGTTACTGTCCATACGATTTCGATTCCCGTTACAATCAAGCGGAACTAACGCAGACCGATCATCTAAATCGACCTAGAGAAGATAGCGGGATCAAGCAAGCGAGACCGAAACCACTGGAGAAAGCGTTCGCGTGCAATCTGTTCAATTGCACCAAGCGATTTGCTCGTGTTGACGAGCTGAGACGCCACCAACGGACGCACAGCGACGTGAAGCAATTCACGTGCGATATCTGCAAGAAAGGATTCACACGCAGCGATCACCTGATGACACATCGCCGAACCCACACCGGTGAACGCCCTTATCAATGCAAACATTGTGACCGAAGGTTCGCACGGTCGGATGAATGTAATCGACACACAAAAGTTCACTTCCGTGAAAAGACCAGAACCATACGAAAATCCCGGTATACCAAACATGAACCGGATGCGCCCGATGGTTGCATATCATCACGGAATGCATTAAGATTACCTTGGCTGGACGGTATCTCCATTGAAACGTGACACGCGTGGCTTGGCTGTCTGCGCTCGCCAAGCTGACTGTCTGATCGATGATGTACGGCGACCTTGTACCCGTGAACAGAGCAAACCTGCTGTTACATTGCGTGTGACGGGGGTTACTATTTTTTATATTTGCAGTCCCACCATGCACGTCGGCAAGAGACGGTGTGCTAACACAAACAACTACCCCCGGTGCGCGTTAACTACGCTGCGAAAAGTGCCAATCAATAATGCAATCAACCACACTTCAGTGAGAGAGATTCACTAAAGTGACCGTAGAACATATTTAATGATCTATGACTATTTTATTTGCACACTACTGTCTTTCCAGCTGATAGTCATATTTTACTAGATCATTTACAGATAAAACAATCGTTTCACTGTCTACAATCTTATGTGCCATGAAGGATATCGAAAGCGATTTTTTTTGGGGGGGGGGAGAGGATGGTTGTAGCAAAAGTCAAATGAAGGTAACGCGACCTACCGAAATCACTTGCCAATCGTGGTGTCTAGCAGGAGAACTACAAATCCACGTTGATCGCATCAGACTGCACAGAAAGGCGATGTTGGTTTTACCGTGCTAGGCAGGCTTAGAAGAGCCCCGGGAGGACGTGAAGAGATATCTTGGCCATCGAAAAATATGGTTCACATAGTCGGCTGATAAACATGCAAGGCTTTTGTCCAAATGGTGTCAGACGTTTGAGCAATCGGGCGGACATTCAAACAAATAAGGAGGAGTAAAACTACAAAGTTTGCATAACGCAGCGAAAAGAAGAAAACTGGCGTTTTTCGTCTTCTCAGTGCGTCACGCATGCTGCTAAAAGAATCTAACTGTTTCAAACTACAAGGTTATTTAAACCCACTGCGAGGCACCTAGGTGCTGAGTTAAACCTGCAATTTTTGCCTTAGGTATCCATCACAGCGATGTCAAAGAAGCATCTTTGAGTAGCTGAATGTTATTCCTCACTAGGTGGAACAATGGAAAATGCTCAAATACTCCCGCGTAGGTAGGACGAGTAGAACCACAGTCTGCTTACGTCATAACGTGTCGAACACGGCCACCAGGTGATCGGAAATAGCAGAAATCATATCCAACAAATAAACACAAGATTGGTGGATAGGTTACGATGGTATTTCAACAAGCCAAACAGCATGACACTAACATTAAACGGTGACCTCTCAGTGAGTTGTTGTGGCTGAATTACAGTGCGAGACAACATGCGGGGATGGGATTGTTGAAAACTTACCAAACTAAAACAAGACCATCCCGCAGACGACGATAGCGTTTGCTGGAAACTCCCAAGGCTATTCGTTAAGGTCAGTAAGAAAGCTGGATCTAGCCGTCAAAATTTCTGGCTCCGACATTTCGTTCTAAGAGCGGTTCTCTGTGCATCTACACTCTTTATGTAGAAGTAGCAACCATAAGATTCGAAAAGGTGATGTAAAGGTAGCCAGTAAGTGCATGTATCGCTATACTATTGAATTTAACCACTAAACATTCCTCAGATTAGTTGGGGATTCACCACTGAGCAATTCGGAGCTGTTTGGTAGCTGGATTACGACAACCACAAGCTATGTTTAATTACAAAGACCATCATTACGACTAGTAACGTCACGACAGAAGCAGACAAGTATGATATTGGTAACAGTCGAACTGGAAGTGGAGTCCAAGACAAAGAGAACATCGACGGTCTTTTTCAATGCATCACCGAGCTGTGGGTACTGCTTGTCACAATCGACAATAGTCCGCAAACGGCTTGTTTGAAATGCCCACTGAATGATGAAATAGTGATACTCCAGCTTTACATAGGCACCGATGTACTTTGGAGTGGATTTCGGTCCAAGGGACAGAAATGTTCAGCGCCTACTGAAATTGCTCAAGTAGCAGTACCTTCTCACATAGCAGCAGTTTCAAATAACATAAGGAGAAGGGTTACAGTTAGGTTACGAGTACCAATTTAAGGCTGGAAGACATCGCTTCATTCGTCAGAAGAAAACCATCCCAGCGAGTCTGAAGAATGCAATGCGACTCACTTCAAATAAGAATCCCAATGGAGATTAGTATTCCTATGTTGTCACGTGGTACGTTCCCTCACCGAGGTCAAGGTATTGGTTAGGTGTCAGTTTTCCTTAAAGAGAGATTTTATGACCTACCAAGCGAACAATGCTCGGCCGTTGAAATTCCTGGTTAGTTAGGACAGAGCGTTTCGACTCCTTAAAGGAATTGTACATGATATCGGGGCAATTTTTAATAGTAATTGCGTCCGCCTGAGAAGATTTGGGTAGCTTAAAGAAGACCAGGCAACCATTTTGAAGAGTGTGAATGCATAATGAATATACATTAGCTTGATCAGGTGTCATCATAATCAACAACAGTACATCAGCCATTAGAACCTATGCTTCGCTGCCACAAAACCAAAAGGACCTACGGAACGAAATATAATAAGTGGGAGAGAAGGGTGACTTAGCGGAAAACCTTTATACCCTAAACAAAAATTCCTGTTCAAGGCGTCTAGAGCTTGCGAACAACATATCGTGCAAACATAAGGTGGCATCAGCAAGACAGGTTTCACTGCTCCGCGTTATAACTATCCATTAACCAGCAGATAAGTCAGTACTAAACACATTGAACAGGCAGTCCGACTGGGAGACGGCAGCAGACATGTCACTGGTGTCGACTGCGAGCCATGTCCTGTAAAGTCTCGAGCCAAACACAAGGCGAGTCACGTGGACTCCAGCCTGGAAGGCGAGTCATGTGGACTTTAGCCTGTAAGGCGAGACGGACCGAAAGCATCAAGTTGGGTTGTCAGTAACTACATTTCCCGCTACCAAGTAAACGTTTTTCCACCCCGAACTTTGCGCCAGCCTATAGCTGGCAGACTAAACAACACCCTCCTCAGTATGTGATAACCAGGCATACGTGGTAGGTGTCCAAGCCAATGCAACTTATTCAGTGCTACCAGTTGTTCTAAGGAACTAGATTGGTTATCACTGCCTAGTACTCGCATACGCATACCATCGTTGAGGACACGTTGGGGCCACTCGACACCAGCAGAGCTCCGCACACAGGGATGATCAAAGACTTCAAAGCGCCTCAGATCGAGGGAGCCAACGCGCACTCCCAGAGAGTGAAACGACTCTCACTGGGGCCTAGTAAACACGTCCTTTAAGACGGAGAGAAACCCCTTCCTGTCGCTAGCAATGTCGCAGACTCAAGAAGGCAGTTATGGCTTCTGTAATACGTGAACTGACTTCAGTCGTTATGCGCCCATCGTTGCTTATATAAGTGCCAAACTAAGCGAATTGATCAACTACCTCGAGTTCCTAGTTATCAAAGGTCAATGGAATCCATTCGAGGATGCATAGCGTATGCCAAATAATGGTTATTCAGGGTTGATTGGGCACCCGGACACCGTTAAAAAGCAAGGCAATATTATCCGCACAATCAAGAGCAGCTTAGTTCTCACCATGCAACACCTCAACGTCTGCATCGTGAGGCTCCACAACGAAGCACTGTATGATGCAGTTCACGACAAAGTTGAACAAAAATGGGGAAACTGGGAAACCCTGACGAACGCCACTTGTTGTCGTGCAGATATTCGGTAACTCACCGCAGACCTTAACGCGGCTGGTCGTATTCGAGTATAGAGCACATAGTAGATGGTCATCTACAGGCTGCATGTTTGGGTTGCACTTAGCGGTCTCGGATCATCTGGAAAGTAGGCATCCACTAACTGGTAGCGTTATCAATAAGACCAGTATACCTGTGGTCTCCGAGGGAATTACCATCTAACCTAACCATACATTAGAACAAACTAGCTGATAAAAATGGATGAGAAGGAGGTGAATGGAACCAAATGAGACAAACAGTTAGGGTTAAGGTGCCAACATCATACGACTATGAACAACTGACTGAACGGTGAGAATACAATCAACCTGATGAGAGCTTCATTGGGTGTTTCGAATTCCCGTGTCACGATGCTTTGGCGGCGTCCGTATCCGGATTTGCCTGTCACTGTGACATCCATGAGGACAGTCACAGGACGCCTGCGCCCACAAAGGGGACCATGGGCGGCTTGCGCTGCACCACCCATAGTTCCATCCACACACCCCATATCAGGTGTAAACCCGAAGGAATAAGACCGGGAGGCATGTGGATGGGAGCCGCGTTTCATCAACGGAGCCGGCCCACACTTCTTCAACAATCAGAACAGAAGCATTCCGGCCTAATTGGGAAATCATACACACCAGACGTACACGAGGCGGTGGCTGGACCGTAGCCCATTCCACACACGATGGAACCAATCTTTGAGCTTAGCACCATCACGAGGACGGTGCACCCCGTCCCCACTAGCAACGACCAACTGTCTCCTGGAGCCAGATGGACGACGTAGTGGGTAATAGACAGGTAGGCACCTTGTCGACATTCACATCAAGCGCATCCACACCGGGGAGCTCAAACGACATATACTTCTGAAATGCAAGATTACTCAGCACGCAAGCAAACGTATCACATACGCCGCCTTATTGGCCTGGATTAGTAAATCGAATGGGAGCGTACGCATCATGCTTCTATCCCACGTGCAATAGTACCTTCTCCTGCACCTGAGCAGCCGCCCATACGATCAGTCCACGGAGTTCGCATCGATCAAATTTGCCTTGGATTCGCAACATCTGAAATCAACATGAGTTTGTCATAAACTCACCTTCTTCATGTTCTGGTTATGTTATTTCCGGTTTGCTCGAATGTCGTTTTACTGCCCTAAGTTAGCCGTACCAAAGTATGAGTATCCTCGTCGAATTCATTCGGTATACATATATACATAGATTGGCGTCACGCGTGTCCAATGGCAGTTCGAATACAATATATGCACATGCATTTATCCAAACTTAAGTGTGATCTGTCACAAACTGGATAGAGACACATTAGACATTATCATCAATGGTACGACAAACGTGTATGGGTTTCGTTTGGAGGTCAGGCTAACTACCACTTTTGCAGGCATGAGAATAACTACCCAATACGAACTGTTGATGTTTTCTTCAACATTTAGACGTGACAGCCTTAAATCTTGGGCATACATATTTGAAGGAACCCGATGTAGCCATAGTGAAGTAGCTGCTAGGTAGAATGATGATCAAACTACTGGTACAGTGAAATAGTGTGCACTTAGGTGTTGCCCTCTACATGTACAGTACGAATGAGCTCATGGATGGACTGAACCACTATTCTGCGATGCACCGGCTCTCCAGGCGTCATGTTAGTTAGCATTGAGCAGCTGGTCAAGCTACGGTTATGGTGAGTAATACCATGGAGTTCACATGGTGATGTGAATCGCGGCCGAATAATACTATGAAGAGGAAGATGTCGTAGCTCAGTCTCGGTATTTAATCATACTAGACTCCGCTTGAGAAGG